TTTTTGCAATTAAAACTTACACTTAATAAAAGCTATTTATTCGTTTTACATTGTAATATTTTTAATTATAAAAGTTAATTTTAAATTTTATAGTTCTTTTAATTTATTTGATTTCTTTTCCTTTTTCTTTATATTATGATTTCTTATTTTTTCATTCTTTGTTAATTTTATTAATTATAAATTAATCTTATTATTTCATATTTTTTCTAAATTTTTTCCTCCTAATTAACTATAGTGAAATACCTATTTAATTTATATCTTAATAAAATTATAAATAATGATAATTTTTATTAAGCATAACATATCTTTTTTTTGAAAAAAATAAATTTTGAAAACCTAGGATGGAAAAAAATTCATAAAAAATATTTAAAATTTTAATTTTATAAAATATAAAAACTGATATATAAAACTCGCTTTTTGTAAATTTGTATGGTAGCTTATTCTATTTAATGATATATTTTTTCTTCATTTTTTCCTTCTTATTTAACTATTTAATGATATATTTTTTCTTCAATATTTAAAAAGTAATAATTAAATTGGTGATAAAGGTGCATCAGGCTTAGGTTCTGCTTTAGCAAATTGCATTAATCTCTCAAATTTGACACTTAACCTTTAGTAAAAACAATTTATTTGTTTTGGATTGTGATATTTTTAATTATAAAAACTAATTAAAAACAATAAAGCTCTTTTTTCTTTTTCTTTTTATTATGCTTGCTTGTTTTTTCTTTGTTAATTTAGCTCTTCATTTTATTTTCAACTTTTGCTTTTATTATTTATTTCTTATTATTTCATATTTTTTCTTCATTTTTTCCTACTAATTAACTATTTAATGATATATTTTTTCTTCAATATTTAAAAAGTGATAATTAAATTGGTGTAATTGGTGCATCAGGCTTAGGTTCTGCTTTAGCAAATTGCATTAATCTCTCAAATTTGACACTTAACCTTAAGTAAAAACAATTTATTTGTTTTGGATTGTGATATTTTTAATTATAAAAACTAATTATAAACAATAAAGCTCTTTTTTTTTTCTTCTTTTTATTGTGCTTGCTTTTTTTTTGTTCTTTCTTTGTTAATTTAGCTCATCATTTTATTTTCAACTTTTGCTTTTATTATTTATTTCATATTTTTTCTTCATTTTTTCCTTTAATTAACTATTTAATGATATATTTTTTCTTCAATATTTATAAAGTTGCAATTAAATTGGTGCAATTGGTGCATCAGGCTTAGGTTCTGCTTTAGCAAATTGCATTAATCTCTCAAATTTGACACTTGATCTTTAGGTAAAAACAATTTATTTGTTTTGGATTGTGATATTTTTAATTATAAAAACTAATTAAAAACAATAAAGCTCTTTTTTCTTTTTCTTTATATTGTTCTTGCTTTTTTTTTGTTCATTCTTTGTTAATTTAGCTCATCATTTTATTTTCAACTTTTGCTTTTATTATTTATTTCATATTTTTTCTTCATTTTTTCCTTCTAATTAACTATTTAATGATATATTTTTTCTTCAATAATTAAAAAGTTCGAATTAAATTGGTGCAATTGGTGCATCAGGCTTAGGTTCTGCTTTAGCAAATTGCATTAATCTCTCAAATTTGACACTTTACCTTA